TTTTTTATGAAAGAAAAGAAAAAAAATGAAAGTAATCAAAACCTTTTCTGAAATAATTTTTTGTGTCCCTCCCCTCTCCCGAATAAGAGATTTTGGAGAGGAGGAGAGACATATAAATTATGATAAAATCTATTTTTGATATATTGACAAAATTATCCTTACTTTTTATATTAAAATTTTAAATTGTCCATGATAAATTTTATATATTAATTTTTGTTAACTTATTAGTATTCCTCCATATTGTTTTAACAACAACTCTATTTTTTTTATCACTCAATTTTCATTCTTTTTCATGAATTTTTTTCCATTTATTTTCATTTTTGTTGTTGTAATTTTTGTATAAGTTGTTGTGTTGTATTATATATTGCAATCTAATTATAGTATATTAGTTATATATTATCTAGAATTAAATTTTATAAATAATTTATAGAATTAGATGGATCATCAAGATGAAAAAATTGTTCATTTGATCATTGATCATATAATAATTTTATGACATTAATGAATATTTTATTTGCACTTTAATATATTTCACAGTATTTGAAATATTAAATATTGTGTTTGAATATCAATATTATTTATGAATTGACAATTTTTTAGCATATTTTATTTTATTTTATTTTACTTTATTTATCATGGGTGTTATTATATTTTAAGGGTAAAATATAAATTAGTTTTAAAGCTAGGCGACGTGGAACTTCAAAGAACTTGCATCCTATATATAGCCTTGAACTCTATCTTCATTCACAAAACCAAGCAATGTGGAACTTCTTCAACATGTATATTTTCAACCAACCTTAACAATCTCTACCTTGATTGAAAATAATAAATAAGCTTTCATTGTCTTCACCAACAATCATACTCCACCATAAAGAGTATCAACATGTATATTTTCAATCAACCCCAACAATCTCCAACTTTATTGAAAATAATACATAAACTTTCATTGTCTACATCGACAATCATACTCCACCATAAAGAGTATAATAACTTGAAGCTACACCACTCCAAGAATTTTCACATTGTCTTCCCCGACAATCATAGTTTTAAAAACTATCATACCCTCTCATGAAAAATCTATTTCACTTGAAGATAATCCACTTCAAGAATTTTACATTGTCATCACCGACAATCATATATTTTATCATGAAGAGTAAATTTCATTTGAAGCTAAACCAATCCAAGAGTTTTCACATGTCAAAAATCAGGTTGAAACATTACGGTGCAACTTCCTTGATGGCAGGAAACTCTTCAACCACCGACATAATCTTGCACCTTGTGTAATCTTGATTGTATCAGCACATCCTTGACTTGAACTTTCAACAAGTAAAAAGAATTAATTTTTTCTAGCTCAAACTGCACCGCAGAATTTATGACTGCAGCTCAACAACTCTTTCACAACACTACCTTTCTTTTCTGAAGTGGAAGATCATACAAAATTGAAACCACAAAGCATACTAAGAACATTTATCCCTGGATTAAACCAAAAGCTCTGATATCAGTTGTTCGGAAAAAAACAAACATAGAGAAAAAAGAGGACCTCGAACACAACACAAGAACATAACGTCGAAACTCCAAAACTAGAGAAAAAACTATGGTCGTTGTCAATAGACAACCAGAGAATAACACTATGTGAAAATTATTACAACACATAATATACCCTCCACTAACCCAAACCCCTACTACACTCACACCCTCTAAAACAAATATAGGTGCATCTTGGAATGAAAAACTTGAATCCTATATATAGCTTTGTACTCCCTCTTCTTCACAAAACTAGACGATGTAGGACTTCAAAGAACTTACATCCTATATATAGCCTTGAACTCTCTCTTCATCCACAAAACCAAGCAATGTGGGACTTCTTCAACATGTATATTTTCAACCAATCCCAACAATCTCTACCTTGATTAAAAATAATACATAATTTTTCATTGTCTTAACCGACAATCATACTCCACCATAAAGAGTATCAACATATATTTTTTCAACCAACCCAAAAATCCTAATTCTCAAGATTAACTCTCTTTTGAATTTATGAGTTTTTGACTTACTTTCATTGATAGGTCACTTTATAAACTCTTTTCCAAATTTGTATGCAGCTATTCTTGTAAGTGTCATGGATAATTTGATCTTATCTAATCAGTTGGTCTTTCGTTTGGGTAAAATTTTGGTTAAATGAGGGGAAATGAGGGGGTTCAGTTAATAATCTTGTTGATTTGGAAAAGAAACCCAAGAAGGACTACCTAACTTTCATGGTTGACATTAAAAATGATTGTTTATGTAGTTGGAGATTTTTGGATTATATATTACGTAGGTTTGGATTATGTGGTAACTTGCGTGCTTCAATTTGTGTATGTATCTTTAAGAAAATTCTTTGTTCTTATTCCTCGCATGGGGCATTACAAGAAAAACATTATTTTGATAGGGGATGAACCTCTCACAAGTGAGAAAAAAAACCCTCACAAAACAAATATTTGCGAGGGGCCAAGTCACCTCACAATATGGGTCATCGCAACATTTTTGTCAATGTCTTACCACGTTGCTGATTTCCCAAGGGCTTAACCCCTCACAAAACATGACACGTTTTTTATGTTGTTGACATTAAGGCGTAGACGCAAACTAGGTACTGCAGTGTGGTGCATTAACTCATCTGATATATTAAACATTAACTCATCTGCAGTGTGGTGCATAAACTCATCTGATACATTAAACATTAACTCATCTACAGTGTGGTGCATCAATTCAATTGATACATTAAACACTAACTCATTTGTAGTGTGGCGCATGAACTCATTTGATATATTAAACACATAAATATCTCTGGGTAACATAGACTCATCAAATATTAACTCATATGATACCAAAAAAATAGATATTTTAGGTAACATAATTAAGAGAGAAGCAAAATCAAGAGGATCCATGTTTCATGTCATATTCTAACAGAGAAACAAACCAATTTCATTAATAAAACCCTAAATTAAATAAATAGATAAAAGGAAAATAGAGGGAAGGAAGAAGAAAGAAATGTTCATGTTGTTGTCGTCGTCGATGATACATTACCACCATCATCTCCGATCATATAACCATCGAATACAACCACCAACATAGCTTCAAACATCATCGCACACCCACTACAAGAAAACCTGCATTTTGATAAGTGATTTAATGACGTGGTAAAAACGTGGAAAAAAACAAAGGTTGCGACGTGTAAACCACGCCACTACATTATTTAATTAATAACCATCCCACGTTGAAAATTTGTAACGTTGAGTGCTGTTTTTTTGGGGGAGGGAAATTTGAATTATTCAGAAATTTAGTTGTGGCATGGTAACCACATGGGAAACAGAAATTCAAAAATATCTTTGTTTTTGCAACGTGGAAAACAAGTCAGAAATTTCCTACGTGATAACCACGTCACAAATGGGAAGAAATTAATATTAGTCTGCATTTACTTTTACAGTTGGGACACATTAAAAGCTGGTTTGACTTTTCCAGGTCTTCCGATGTGCATCCCACGTCGCAACTTATTTTTTAATTATTGTGTCATTTAATGTTTTTGTCGTTGGGTGTCATTTAATTTTTTAACGTTAAATATAAAATGTTGGGAAAGTTCTGATGTGTTTATCACGTGGCTACTTTCCCAAGTGCTTTTCACGTCGCAAATGAGATGTATGATTCATTGTTCCGACGTGATATTCACGTGCTTTTCACGTCACAAATTACACTATATAATTCCAAATCTCAGAACCCTTCACACATTTCTTTCTTTTCCTTCCTTCTTCTTTCTTCCTTCTTGTGTTTTCTCTGCTTCCTCTCCTCCTTCACTGCATTTCACAGACATTTTCATAAGTATGGTTAATGTTTTACATTCTTACTTTTTATTTTTGTTTTACATTTTATTTTAATTTTTTCACATTATTAAGTTTTAATTTTTTTTCAAAAGATCAAGAATTGGAAGATTCAAGAGGAGCTCATCAAGTCTAAAGATTAAAGCTTTATTTTTGCTCCATTGAGGTATTTATGTAATTTAAATTATTTATTTTTCAGATTTATAGGAATAATATTGTATATGAAATGTTTGGTTGTTGTTGTATAAAAACAGAATTTATTGATTATATATGAAACACAAAATATATATTATATTTTAAATGTGAATAATATTGATTATATATGAATAATATTGTATATGAAATGTTTGGTTGTTGTTGTTGTATCTAAATATGTTATTTTTATTAAAAACAGAATATATATTATATTTTTAGTATACATAATTGTAAAAAATAATTTTTAGAAAAAATAGATTTTTAAAAATAATGAATATATATTATATTTTAAATGTGTTATTTTTAGTAAATAAATTATATATTATATTTTAGAATATTATATTTTAGAATATGTATTATATTTTAATAAATAGAATATATATTATATTTTAGAAAAAACAGAACTTTTAGAAAAAAATTAAAAAATTTTTAAAAAAAATATAATGTTATGTAGATTAGAAAACAAAATTGTAAATATTTTTAAAAAAAGTATTTACTAAATAGAAGTATTTTTATTAAAAAACATTTTATAGAAAAAATTGCTTGTAAATATATGTTATGTAGATTTATTAAAAACTGAATTTATAAAAGAAATTTATTTAAAAAAAATATAATTTAAAACAAAAATAATTCGTAAAATGTATAATATTAAAACAAATTGAAAAAATATTAATGCGCAAATAATTAATATTAAATTTATTTTTATTGGGTTAAAATGTATAATTAGATTTTATATTTTTATATTTATATTTTTATTTTTATATTTTTATAGTAAGAAAATATTTTTAAAATAATGTTACAAAATTAGGTTGTTGTATAATATGAAGTAATATGAAGTAATATTGAAGTAATTTTTTCATTTATATTAGGTTAAAACAATGTGAAAAGAATTATATTATTTTGCGTATATTAAAATCACATATTTAATTAAAATGATATATAATGATAGTACAAATGTGCAGTATGAAATATTTTCGTTACTATCGTAGTTGGAGAACGTTACCAAGTAGACGTGGACTTACACCAAATTTTGAGGAAGGAGTTAAAGGGTTTATCACGTGGGCATTTGCACAAGAATGTTGTCGACGTGAAGGAGGAGTAAGATGTCCTTGTCTTAAATGTGAATGTAGACCTATAATTGGTGATCCAGAGGAAGTAAAACGTCATTTGAAGAGGAAGGGTTTCATTAAAAATTATTGGGTTTGGACATATAATGGAGAACAACTGCCGAGTAACGTACATGCAGAGACAACTAATAAACACGCATCAAGCAGTCAATCACATATGGAATTTGAGGAACAATTTAATCTGATTAATGATATGGTTGGCAATACATTTGGAGTAAATGTGACATATAATGAACCTCAAGATTTTGATGGGGAAGAGTTGTCGAATGAGGAAGCACAAAGATTTTTCCAATTGTTGAAAGAAATGAATACATCGTTGTTTGAGGGGTCGACGGATTCAAAATTATCAATGTGTGTGAGATTATTGGCCGCAAAGTCAAATTAGAATGTTCCTGATCAGTGCTTGAAATACTTTGCAAAAATGATGTTGGATGCGACTCCTACGAAAGACAACTTGCCTACAAGTTATTATGATGCAAAGAGGTTGGTGTCGAAGTTGGGAAGTACAAAAGATTGATTGTTGCATAAATGGATGCATATTGTTTTATGACAATGAGTTTGGTATTAATGATGAGGCGCTGGAGGAATGTAAGTTCTGTAAGAGTTCGAGATATCAAGTTCGTAGTAAAGCCATTAGTCGTAAACAAAAACGTGTATCAGTGAAGTCCATATTTTATTTTCCGATAATACCAAAGTTAAAAAGATTGTTTGCTTCAATGCACAGTGCAAGTCAAATGACATGGCATCATACAAACAAAATAAGTTCAGGCATTATGCGGCATCCATCTGATGATGAGGCATGAAAACATTTTGATAGGGTACATTCTAATTTTGCTACAAAACCTAGAAATGTCAGGCTCGGACTATGCTCTGATGGTTTTACTCCATATGTCCAAGCATCCGCAATTACATATTCCTGTTGGCCAGTTATCGTAACCCCTTACAACCTCCCTCCAGAGATGTGCATGACTAAACCATACATGTTTTTGACTTACCTTATTCCAGGATCGTCAAGTCCTAAAGCCAGAATCGATGTTTATTTACAACCTTTAATAGATGATTTGAAGAGGTTGTGGATTGGAGAATGAACTTATGATATATCTCGCAAACAAAAATTTACTTTACGAGCTGCCTTGATATGGACTATTAATGACTTTCCCGCTTATGGAATGTTACCTGGTTGGGGTACACATGGAAAAATGGGATGTCCACATTGCATGGAATTTACAAAGGCTTTTACTTTGGAATTTGGAGGGAAACGTTTGTGGTTCGAATGTCACCGCAGATTCCTACCACGAGACCATGTCTTTAGAAGAAACAAGACCGATTTCAAAAAATATGTACGAGTAAAAGATTTGCCTCCTCCTCGATTGTCATCGAAGGAAATATGGAATCGAGTTTCTGAACTGTCAAAATTCACAGATTATGGTGAAGCATGTAGAATTCAAGGATATGGGGTCAAACACAATTGGACAAAAAGAAGTACATTTTGGGACCTCTCATATTGAAATGATAATTTATTGCGACATAATCTTGATGTTATGCATATTTAAAAGAATTTATTTGATAATATATTTAACACAGTGATGGATGTTAAAGGCAAAACAAAAGATAATGAGAAGGCTAGAAAGGACATGGAAATTTTGTGTGATAGAAAAGACTTGGAGTTGAAGCCTCAGCCTAATGGAAAATTATTAAAACCTAAGGCTTGTTACAGTCTAACTTCCCAAGATGCTAAAGCGGTTTGTCGATGGTTAAATGAATTGAAAATGCCCGATGGTTATGCTTCAAATTTAGCAAGGTATGCTGACACCAAATTTAAGAGTCGATAGCATCATTAAGTTGGACAAAAATGTTCCAGTTATTCTATGCAAGTTGGAACGAGTTTTTCCACCTGGTTTTTTCGAGTCTATGGAGCATCTACCTGTGCATCTTGCATATGAAGCCTATCTTTGTGGCCTCGTTCAATACAGGTGGATGTATCCCTTTGAAAGATTCATGGGTGATTCAAAGCGATCATTGAAAAATAAAGTTAAAGTTAAAGGATCAATATGTGCACATTACTTGCATCAGGAAACATCACATTTTTGCAGTCATCATTTCAATCATTTGATGTTAACTCCAAGAATCATAAGGAATGAATTTGATGTTAACAAAAGAAGTCAGTTTACCTTGTCAATCTTCAGTCTTCCCGGCCGCCCCTCTGGAAAGGATAATATGCATTAACTAACCCAAAAAGAATTTCAATCTGCACATGTTCATGTTCTAATTAACTTCATTGAAGTTAGGCCATATCTTGAGTAAGTATACCCCTAACGTAACTACCTATCTGGCTTTACAAATTGAATTATTACATTCTAACTAATAATATGTTTCTTTATAGGGCATTTAACGCCTCCTATTTTCAAAGCACTGGTGAACAAGCAACTACCGATCACATACATGCATCTTTTTCAGCATGGTTCAAGGATCAATTGTCATGCATTGTTGCACCGACTCAAGAAATAATTCATTTGAGAAACTTATCTAGAGGCCATGTTCAAAGAGCAATTGAATGGCACACATACTTTGTGAACAGATATAAATTTCACACCTAGGCTTGGACAGAAGGGAAAAAACCATAAATAGTGGTGTATTTGTTAAAGGAGTTACAGATGGTGGTGAAGACGACTTCTATGGCGTTGTTACACATATTTACAAGTTGGCATACAATTACTTGGACTCGGAAAATAGAGTTGTCTTGTTTTATTGTGATTGGTATGATCCATCTGCCAGGGGCACAAAAATAGATAAGAAATATAACACTGTTGATATTCGAATGGGCAGAAGGTATAAAGAGTATGGCCCTTTCATAATGTCACATATCATTAAAAAAGTTTATTATGTTTCTTACCCTTCAATTCAGTCACGTAAACGTGGATGGTATGTTGTAATCAAAACAAAACTATTGGGTCATATTGAAACTGACGATCTAGTGGAAGATGCTGCTTACCAAGACGATGAAATTTCTCAAATTAATGATGTAGTTGAATTTGAAGAATTACAAACTTGTGTGATACATTGGCTGAGGGTCATCAAATTGATGCATCTGTGTTGTTGGTAGATAATAATTTGGATGAAGAGCATGAAGAGTTTGGATCTGAGGACATTATTGGATCAGATGATAAAAATAATATGGATAAAGAGCATGAAGAGTTTGAATAGAGAGTTTTTATATGTGTTCAAACAATTTTTATTAATGTATTATTTGTTTTATATGAATGCAAATGATTTTTACGTAGTGCGCCTATATATTGTGTTGATAATAATGTTGATTTATTTATTGATAACTCTTTCAAAATTGATATAATGCCACCCTGAACTGACAAGGGTAAGGCTAAGGAGACCCATCCTCGTCCGAGAGCTAGAGTACGTGAGATACCTCCCTCGCTCATGTATGCTTCTTGCCCACAGACTCAAGCAGATATAATGTCTGTAGACACTTCACAGCCATTTACGACATTACTCTCCTCCTTCCAAACGGTTCCATATGGAAATCCATCATTTATTTCCCTCAGGTACCGTATTTGTTCACGCAGCAGCCTGAGGGATCTAGTTTTCTTCCTCAACATTATTCCTTCACACAACAGCCTCAGGGATCTAGTTTTCCTTAGCAGACTTCCTTTGCACAACCTGGGGGATCTGGTTTTCCTCAACATTATTCCTTCATGCCACAACCTGTAGGATCTAGTTTTCCTCAGCAGACTCTCTCCACGCACAAGTCAGGGGGATCTGGCTCCCGCATTCCACACCCCACACATATACCTGCGCGTCAGGAGCAGGATGACCACCCTATTCAGAAGGATGACGATGTTCATGAGGAGCAGACAAATCCTATTGCAGGGGAGATTTATGCGGTTGAAGGACGACATCTTATTAAGCCTAAGGGATCTGGGTATGTTTTTAATTTATAATATTTATTTAACTATATATTGTCATTTTATGTTTAATACTCATTCAAATTATTGTTGTTTAGTTTTGATCCGTATCGGCCTACTGCAAAAGCTGTAAACCGGGTCATTCAATTGATGTATACAAAACTCATTAAGTCTTTCGGAGAGCTCCCAAATACTGAGAAAGATATATGGTTTGATAAATTCAAGGTAAATTATATTTTTATTATAGTTTTGTTATTTTATAATTATTTTTTTATATAAATATCTAACATTTTATTTGACTGTCATATAACTTGCAGGAAAGGTGTACTTGGCAAAAATTTGACGAGTTCAAAATTAAAAAAAAAAATAGAAGTAAGGTATCTAACAGATTATCTGACATGCTCAGGAATGCTAGACAACGTTAGGAAAGAGATCAAACTCGTCCTAACTGGATAGGTGAGGAAATATTTGGGGAACTTATTGAGTGGTGGAAGACAAAAGATTTCCAGAGAAGATCTGAACATGCAAAAAAGATGAGGGTATCTGAAGCAGGTGGTTGTCTTAGTACAATTGGAAGAATCAGTATCGGTGAACATCGTCAACGAATGGTAATTATAACTATTTTTTTAAGTTCTATTTTGTATTATTATATTTAATTAAACTTAATTATTTTAATTAGAAAAAAGATTTGAGGAGGGAGCCACTAATTAATGAGCTATTTGTGAAGACCCGAACCAAAAAATCGGGGGAGTTTGTTGACGGTCGTTTCAAATCAACCTTGGTAACTTGTTTATAGTTGAATTATTTTATTTCATTATTATTGTATATAATTGAATTGTTAAAACTATATTTATTTAAATTTAAATTTTTTTTATGTGTGTGTAAGAGTTGTACTAGACCTTGCTTGCCCAATTTCTAACTGAAAATCCTCAGTATACGCCGATTGGGAATGCATCGCTTGATCCACGCGTGGATTTTTATATTTGGAATTTAACAGTAGGCGGGAAGGGAGTCAATGTGTGTTTTTTTGGTCTTGGATCTTTGGCTGGCGATAATAGAAAAGGGGACCGAACTTTATTTCAAAGACTCGATTATGGGGAAGGAGGATCTCGTCTGGCAGAATTGACACCAGAAATATTGGGAACAGTGACATAGTTAGCTCTATCTAAGGCGAGACGACAGGCGGAGGCACGTGAGACGGCCCTAAAGGTCGAAATGGAGAATATGAGAAATAGGCAAAATGCTTAAATGGAGGAAATGAGGAAGCGACAATCTGACATGGAGGCACAAATGCGACATTTTTTTGCCTCACAATCGAATTATTCTGTCCAAGATGATGAAGAAGACGAAGACGCTATATTTATTAGTGAGGATGAATAACTTTCTATTATTATTATTATTTATGTTTGTGACGTGAATATTACGTGACAATTTTTTTAATTATTTTTTATGTTTGTGACGTGAATATAATGTGACTAAATATTTATATTTTTTAATAATTGTAGTTATTAAAAAAAAATTAAAAATTTTAATTGAAAATCAATTGAATTTTTTTATTTTATTATTTATTAATTTGTTGTATTCATTAATATTTATTTTTTTATTATTAAATTAAACAGTGAAGTGAAAACAAAGTCACTAAACTTAAAATAGATTTTTTTTTGTGGCATGGGAACCATGTCACTAATTAGTGACACTAATTAGTGACATGGAAATCACGTGGGAAAACTTTGGGAAAAGTGATTTCCCACGTGAAAATCAGGTCACTAATTAGTGATGTGATTTTCACACGGGAACTTTTTCACATAATTTGGTGGTTTGTGACGTGAATTCTATGTCACAAATTAGTGACGTGATTTTCACGTGGGAAAATGTTCCCATCGTTGCTTTTCCAACGTTCTTTATCCACGTAGCAAATTTTGTTTAGTGACGTGTTTTTTGGCTTAGTGACATGAATACCATGTGGGAAATTGCAATATTTCTTGTAGTGACCGCAGATCTGATATTCAAACATCCACCATTACTAGAAACATCATAAAAAACAACAGTTTTATCAAACGAAACTAAAAATTTGGGTTTTTCCCACTTAATATCAAAGCAAGTATACCTAAACAAATATTTGTAACAGAGTTCTCCTGGAAGAGAAAGAATTTCGGTGGGGTTTTTCGTAGTGGGGGAGAAATAATTTCAACGGAGTAGCTTCAATTCAAATTTTGCTTGGTTCCATGAAAAGCACGCCTGAAAGAGAGTTCAAAGATGGAATTTTTCCTCGTTTAGAGATACGCAGCCGAAAAAGGAGAGCAGTGGTCGACGAAAAATTTCTTCAAATAGAAAATTCAATCAGTTAATCATGATAGCCATGAAAAGGTGAGCAAGGAAATGATGTTGGTTTTTCGATTGGAGGTGATGGCGGTCGGAGATGATGCAAGAAAAAGGGTTGACAATGCTAGAGCTAAGGAAAGGAGTAAGAGAGCTTCACGTGAAAAGAAGAGAAAGAGAAAATAATAAAGAAAAAGGTTTGTTTCTCTCTCTTCCAATGTAATTTTATATAAAAAATTATGTGTTGCGAGGGGCTTACCACTATACAACATATTAATTTAGTGATGGGTTTAACCCATGACATTTACCCCTGACAAAACAAGATTTTTATTGTAGTGTGGTAGATTGTCTACCTTTAGATAGGTATGTACCTGGTGGAAATGATTCTCCTTTATGGACTCTAATTCAACTTTTCGAATGGGTTAGTTTCTAAAGGATCTGTCTAAAAGGTGGGATTCGGTCTCCTAACCTCTTTCTCGGATGATCTGTGTGTTGGCCCTAAAGAACATATTTCTTAGGAACATCAGGTGTTCCTTCATCAAAATATGAAAGAGGGGTATGTAGGTCATTTGATAGACAAAACTTTGATTTGAGACCTACAATAGACGAGATTCCTTTTCATTTGGGATCAAGAGAAGCATAATAATATCCTTATGTTAATCTAGTGCACACTACTACAAATATTACATGTTATAACATAGCTTTCATCTTACCCAACAAAAAACATTGAAGTAAAATTCAATGACGCGCTATATTATTTTTTTTAAAGAAATTATCATTAATTCCTTTGATTTAAGAAAAAAAATCGAGGGGTAAACTAATTCAGGGTACATGTCTCGAGTCTCAGCAACTGTAACTTTTCTTTTTTTTTTTCTTTAAAAGTGATGTATTTCTTATTATTTAAGATTTTATTTTATTATTAAATATTTTATTCCCTCAATTTCTCAAATAACTAAGGGATATGATATCCACATTTTTCTATAAAAGGATTTCTTCACTAAGTTTTACCCTAAACCTAACTCATAAGTTTAGCCGCTCTATGCTCTTAAACATCTTTCAGTTTGATGGATTGTGAGACAAAATAAATTTTTGGTTATGTGTTTATGTTATTCTTACACCAAACTTTTAACAAATCATTTTTCTGTTCTTGCAATCTATCTCACGTAATGTTGTTATTTTTGTTCTTGTTATTGTTCATGCTAATATTTAATGGAATAACTTTCCAATGTTTTAAATCAAAGAAAACTTTCTATAATATACATTGATTTCTTCAGTTGACAATATTGAGAAATGTATTCTTAATCACATTGCAACACATAAAGAAATTGATGAATGGTAAAAACTTATAAAAGAAAACAATACACGTTACTTTGATTTTTTTCTATTCACCATTTTTTTGGCAACTTAAGTCATATATTACCTCGGTTCTTTTAGAAACCAGGGTTAAAAGTACCACATTTATTGTAATTTTGATTTTAAAAAAATATATATACCTTGGGTTTAAGTCATAACCGAAGGGAAAACAAACATGTTTATTGAGTTTCTTCGTTATCCTTAAACAAATTTTTATCGCCCATTAGTGAATATCAATGCTCAAGACATTGTCATTAGTGATCCGCGTGAAACCTAAAAGATATTTATTCAGAAGGCTCATGCCACATTATAAAAGCATTTTGAATATAAAAAAAATTGATTATGAAAACATTGAAACTTATTTGTTTTACATCGAAAACATTGAAACATTGTTCTTTGTGATGGATTGGAAGTATAGAAAAATATTTGGGTTTAAGGTTTGTGTTCTTAAATAATCATATAACTGAATATTTATTTTATTTATCTAACCTTTTTTTATATAAAAAACAAATGCATAAAATATCTAACCTTTGATCTTTTCCGAGAATTAATGAAATGATCACCCTGTATTTGTTCTTCACCTACAATGATGACGATGAGTCAGAATCAAAATTTGTTATATATTTTTACTTTAATATTATGTGTATATTGTGTAATATCATGTGTAAATAAAGTAATTTGTAAAAAAATTAATTTAATATTCTGTGTCAACAATGTAATTTGTATTTTTTTTTAAAATTCCCTTCGGTTTTGGTCATAAACCGAAAGGTATGTGATATTAGTTTTAAAAATATAAAAATTGATGTTGTTGCAGATCGAACCAATGACCATTTTAACTATCCTTTCGGTTATTCAGAAACTAAGGGGTAAAGTGACAAGTTTTCATGACGCCCTTAATTACCTCGCTTGTATAATTTAGATAAAATCTCCTTTGCATCCGAGGTAACATGTGTTTTTTTTGTAGTAGTGACACTAGTCTCTTCTTGGATAAGGATCACTTCATATTATTATATATCCTTCTTATGGCTAGGCTTAGTGAGAGCACCTCTTAGATTAGTGTTAAACAGATTGTGACCCTCATAGTTGTGACCCTCATATGGGAATCTCTCTCTCTCTCACCAATGAGGTGGTGGCGTGTTTGTGGTATATAATTTCCAGATGGCTTAGTTAGCTATTGTTTTACCTTGTGATCTCACTATGATATTAGATATTATTTGAACTTCAAAGATTTGTCATAGTATTATATCCGGTTTAATTATAATTTGACATAAAAATAGTTTCATCAATTTGAAAATCTCATAATGATTCTTTTTTTTCCTCAAAAATCATTAAATATCGATGAATTGTTTTATCAATTCATCTTCTCCTCTAGAAAATAATATCTTGACAAGTCATCTGGATACTCTTATTTTTACTATAAGTGGTGGAAGGATCATATCCTTTGCCTGAGTCATTAGTAGTTTGAGGTTTGATTATCCGTTGCGTGGTGGTTGTGCCCTTGACTTTGATTTTTTCAATTATATATGTGGGGTAAAGATGGTATAATATTAGGGTAAAGATAATAAAATATTATTTTGCACTGATATTATAATACACTGTCATTTTTCTGAAAGCCTAAAAAAATTGCAAAATTTCAGTAATGCTGTCTGCAATAACATGTCTGCCAATATTTTATTTATGCAAAAATGAAAACTGTCTTTTTTAGTAGTTGTTGATCCCAAGAGTCAGTTGTGTATGGGAGTCTTTCTCCTTGCTGGAGAATAGTCCATGTCAGTTATGTCCATAAGGTCTTCATGAACATCCTCTTCTTGTTTCTTATTTACTTTAAATTCCTTTACTTTTCTTCCATTAGCTTTATCATTCCCTTTGGTCTTCACCTTCTGTCCATAAAGAATGTATATGATTTTTAAACTATAAAAGGAAGAAATTTCAAAGAATCAATTCTGTTTAAAACTAAGACTTTGCTTCGTTTCTAAAACTATTTCTCATTTTCTTATTTTCTAATTTTATTAGAAGTAAACCAACAAAATCCTTAAGAACAATCAGTTTTTTGTCCCTAAATTAACTAACCTTTGAAATGGCATGAAGGGCAGAACTTGATGACGTAAAAAGTTCCCTATTCTTTATCTTTCCTGCAACAACATATATGCTTAGTGTTATTACACTATATAGTTTTTGTCTAGAACAAAAAATTCAAAAAAAATGAAAAAATCATAAGGAAGTTTCAACACCATTATTCACCATTTTATAGCTGAGAAAAAATCACAGACAAAAAGTCATTATGACTATGACTAAACACGGTTTCAACTACGACTATAGAACGCAGTTAAAGTTGCACCATAACAAATGCAAAATTTTCATAATTATAATATGAAATTACAAAACACAGAAAATATTATTTATAAATGTTGTGATTAATCACACTCTCACAACCGCAGTCAATATCGCAACATTTATATTGACATCGACCACTGTTTATTTAAAACCTCGCTAATGGCGACATCTACATTTGTCGGTGTCATGTCCGTATTCGACATTGGCCGACGACATCAATATGAAGTGGTGGTGGTACAAGAACTACATGGTCTTCTTTTGTACCAGTAATTTGGAAGAATACCTAATTGAATAATAAAAAAAATAACTCATGAGACTAGAAATCTAATTGTGTGAAGGTCTATGGTGTCTAGGTCCACAGTAATCTTCATGAATACGTGGTAATTGGTTGTTTCCTTTTCTGGTTGATCTAGTGCTAATTCTTTTCTTCAAGGTACCTGTGCAATGTTCATCTTTGCAAAAAACTGTTTCCTCATCAGTATCACCATTATTATTTCTTTTCAACGACTTTCTTTCTTCATCCTGCAATTAGAAATTATTTTTACTAACATAAGAATAAGAAATGAAGGTTAACATTAAAACAAAACATATAGAAACCATAGTCATCTTTTAGGATTTAAGATTTCAAGTTAACTATGATTTAATTGTGACAAAGTAATATTTTGTTATAGTTTAACAGTGACAAATATTTTATAAATTTTTTTAAAAAAACAGTTTAAACATGTCAGCGTTTTAATCATTTTATGCAGCTTCAAAGACGACCCTCATAAAAATATTATATGAAGAAGAACTATAAAATGATGATAACTAACATGTTTATTTTGAGGAGCAGCAAAAGATCCTTTCTCCAAGCGAATCCCTAAATAAAAGAAAAAGAACTATAAAATGAGCAATGTTATAGCTATATAGGTAAGATTTCATAAAGGGTAAATGAAGTTTTATTGAAACAATAGAATACATTGGTACAAATTACCTTGAGCTTTGGATAGAAAGAGGGACAAAAGCATAAGAGAAACTAGAAAAGAAAGCTTCATTTGAAGATAGTTATTGTGAGCAAGTATGTAGAATGAGCCTCTTAAGAAAATGGGTGGACTCAAATTTTTCTAGTTAAGTTTTTCTGTATGTTAGAAAACAAGCTTGAGTATTACTATGGGAGAGAAAGTTTATAAGCATGCTAGTGGAACATGAAGTGATGGCAGTATGGGTGATGGATGGATAGGTATTTATATTTATCAATTTGCTAGGGTCCACATTTTGAAGTAATTAATCTACCTAAACTAGTAGGGCTTTTCCTCTCTTCATTTATTATTTTTGTTGTCTAGAATAGCACTCTTTTGACATAGGAAACTATAACTAATATCTTCCAATCATTTAATTATAGGTTTGTATTGAAAAGTTTATAGTTTTAAATGCACTTGTGTTCCTGGATACAGTTAGGTTGACTATAGTAAGGTTGATTATAGTAGAGTTTTGGTCCGCAAATTGAATTGATCTATTCTAAAATATCACATGAATTGAATCAAATTATTTTAATTCATCTGGAATCGAACCGAAATAAAATTATTGATTTTATATATCGGTTTGAAATTTTAAACGGATCAAATTATTAGAAGATATTTTTTTTTTAAATTGAACTATTTGTTAAAGAAGCAAGCCATTATATTTTTTTCAAGTGTTTATTAATAATACATTTTAAACATTTTTTTTTTCAATTTTTGTTTCGTTTGATTGCCATTGGGTTCAGCTTAGTTTCAGTTTTAATTTAGATAATATTTTGCTGGATGACTATTTTAAGGGAGAAAATCTCTTTCCATTGTTGTAATTTATGAACAATAAATGTATACGGGTGTGTTCTAAAATGACAAGAAAAGTGAAAGTGAGTAAATGCCAAAAAATAATTAGGAAATAGCCCCACATAAAAAGACTCACTCACTTTAAAAGTCTTTATAAATAGTTATGTGCATTAACTCAAGAAAAGGACAAAAGAGGATAAAGTGCCACATAAACAAGTGTGGTGGTCCCAAACATTATGCCACTTGTCTCCTCCACACAACCCCTCACCGGTTCCAAGGGCGTGGGAGTAGAGGCGTACAACCCCTCACCGGTTCCAAGGGCGTGGGAGTAGAGGCGTTAGTGGAGGCTTGTAGAAGACACTTGTTGCTATGGAATGAAAAATGGCAATGCTTGAAAATAATGCAACTTTTAGTTTAAAGGTGGTGTTTCATCAAGGGTCGCAACCTTGTGAAACAAAACATGTATGACCTATAAATACATCACTCCGAAATTCAGAAAATCATATCACAAACTGAATATCCTCTTGAACTAATTCCAAACTATCTTCGCTACAAATCGACTTTTCGTCAGTCTTGCGCAAATTTGATATAAGGCTGAATTATCCTGGGTATTCCTGTGTTCCAACTCTAAGATATATTTGAGGGTATTCCTGTGTTCCAACTCTAAGATATATTTGAGAGTGCTTGAAATACTTTTAAGGAAAGTGATTTCGTTCACAATTCAGTCCTAGATCCATTCGACTTTACAGATATTTCTAGCAATCTTAAAAGTATTCAAATGGCTTCCGACGCTGCAGTTTCAAGCATCAAGGTTATGAACTAGAAAATTGTAAAGTTGGATCGCTTTGATGGAACCAACTACACTCGATGGAAAAATAAGATGACATTCCTACTGTCCTCTCTAAAGGTTCATTATGTATTAGATCCTGACTTACCACCAATTTCTGAACCAAGCGAGGATGACTCTGATGAACTCAAAACGGAGCGTAAGATACGTAAAGAAGGAAAATTGTTATTCTATGGACATATTCTGAATACGCTATTTGATCGTCTCTACGACCTCTATACGGATACTCAATCTGCAACAGAAATCTGGAAAGCACTAAAGCTTAAATTCAAGGCCGAAGAGGAAGGTACAAAAAAGTTTTTAATTTCTAAATACTTTGATTTCAAATTTATAAATTCCAAGCTCATTCTTCCCCAAGTGCACAAGTTACAGGTTCTCGTGATAAAGTAAAAGCTATGAAAATAGACATTCCTGAGACTTTTCAAGTTGGTGCGTTCATTTAAAAATTACTACCTTCGTGGAAAGGATATAGAAAGAAATTGTTGCACATTTCTGAGGACTTCTCTCTAGGGAAAATCAATAAACATCTTTGAATCAAGGAGGAATCGATGGAAAGGGAGAAATCATAACCTGCTGGTCTTTCCAAAGCCAATGTCTGGTCTGCCAATTGGAAAATGAAACATGATGGCATGAAAAGTCATTATGGACCTAAAAAGGAACATAACAAATTCTAGTAGTTTGAAAGGTCCGAAAAGCGGCTGCTTTGTGTGTGGAAAACTCGGACACTATGCTCGAGATTCCAGGCGCAACAAGTCAAAAAATGAAATCAATATAGTTTATGCAAATGACGGCATAATTGCTACGATGAGCAAAGTTATGGCAATCAAAGGCAAAATGCAAGGATAGTGGTATGGCACATGTGCTACAGTACATGTCTGTTATGACAAGGCTTCTTTTAAAAACTATTTTGAGGTAATTGATGGACAGGAAGTACAAATGGAAAATGAAGTTCGATCTAAAGTTGTTGGAACCAGATCCTTAGAACTCAACTTCAATTCCGAAAATAAAATCACTATTGTTAATGTGCTTCATTTTCCCGACATGACTAGAAATCTTGTTAGTGGGGATCTGTTGGATAAACTAAGAGTTAAATCTGTATATAAATTAGACAAACTTATATTGACCCGTAATGGTGTATTTATAGGAAAAGGATATTTCGCTAAGGGAATGATCAAACTTTGCACTACTGATAATATTATTAATGAAATTTCTAATTCTGCTTATATGCTTGAATCTATTTCTTTACGGCATTCTAGATTAGCACATATTTGTATTAGTACTATGAAAAGAATAATTAAATTTGGACTGATCTCATGCAATATTCATGTTTTTGAAAATTCTGAAACATGTGTAAAATCTTAAATTCAAGGCCGAAGAGGAAGGTACAAAAAAGTTTTTAATTTCTAAATACTTTGATTCAAATTTATAAATTCCAAGCTCATTCTTCCCCAAGTGCACAAGTTACAGGTTCTCGTGATAAAGTAAAAGCTATGAAAATAGACATTCCTGAAACTTTTCAAGTTGATGCGTTCATTTAAAAATTACTACTTTCGTGGAAAGGATATAGAAAGAAATTGTTGCACAGTTCTGAGGACTTCTCTCTAAGGAAAATCAATAAACATCTTTGAATCAAAGAGGAATTGATGGAAAGGGAGAAATCATAACCTGCTGGTCTTTCCAAAGCCAATGTCTGGTCTGCCAATTGGAAAAGGAAACATGATGGCATGAAAAGTCATTATGGACCTAAAAAGGAACATAACAAATTCTAGTAGTTTGAAAGGTCCGAAAAGCGGCTGCTTTGTGTGTGGAAAACTCGGACACTATGCTCGAGATTCCAGGCACAACAAGTCAAAAAATGAAATCAATATAGTTTATGCAAATGACGACATAATTGCTACGATGAGCAAAGTTATGGCAATCAAAGGCAAAATGCAAGGATGGTGGTATGGCACATGTGCTACATTACATGTCTGTTATGACAAGGCTTCTTTCAAAAGCTATTCTGAGGTAATTGATGGACAGGAAGTACAAATGGAAAATGAAGTTCGATCTAAAGTTGTTGGAACCAGATCCTTAGAACTCAACTTCAATTCCGAAAATAAAATCACTATTGTTAATGTGCTTCATTTTCCCGACATGACTAGAAATCTTGTTAGTGGGGATCTGTTGGATAAACCAAGAATTAAATCTGTATATGAATTAGACAAACTTATATTGACCCGTAATGGTGTATTTATAGGAAAAGGATATTTCGCTAACGGAATGATCAAACTTTGCACTACTGATAATATTATTAATGAAATTTCTAATTCTGCTTATATGCTTGAATCTATTTCTTTACGGCATTCTAGATTAGCACATATTTATATTAGTACTATGAAAAGAATAATTAAATTTGGACTGATCTCATGCAATATTCATGTTTTTGAAAATTCTGAAACATGTGTAAAATCACAAATGATCAAGAAACCTTTCAAAAATGTTGAAAGAAAATCAAATTTGCTTGACCTTGTGCACTCTGATTTGTGTGAATTTTGTTAGTTCCATGATTCTATGATTGTCCATGGTTCTATGATTGGCTACATTTTGGTAAAACGTGATTCTGCACTGATGTTAGCAAGATGTTATAACATCTCCATCTACTGTGGTGACAGAGCTGCTGTCATGTGTTTTAACCAAGATGTCAAGACAGATGTCATGACATCCATCTGCTGTGGTGACAGAACTGTTGTCATGTGCTTTAATCAAGATGTCAAGATAGATGTCGTGACATCCATCTGGTACATCAAGAGCTGCTATTTTATATCTCTTGACAGAGGTGGTTTGGTTTGATGAGATCATGTTGGATATATCTCATCAGTGTGTGCAGATCAAAGAGATTTATTAGGAACAAAGTGCAGATTTAATTGGTGTTCATAAAAAGGATCTTTGAGACTTTTTAGGAAACTATAATTTATTTGTTTCTACTGTTATGAAGAAGATTCTGCAGGAATGTACTGCAGGGTGAGTTTTGGTTAACTAGAACAAAGTGGATTGGATGTCATGCTGAATGTTATGAAATCAGGTAGCTGACATCAAGGGCGCATGTTTTAGTTTCTGGTATTTCATGAGGAAGCTCAGGTTATGCTTCAGGAAACATTTTATGGATCCTAGTTATCTCAGGCGAAATGCTAGGAAGTGCTGAGCATAACAGAATAGCCTATGACCTAATTAAAAGAACCCTGATTTATGAAAAGAGGTTTAACTTAGTTAAACCTAATTGCTGCACTGAGGCCCAAGGAACTTTCGCTGCTTATAAATACAGAAGTGACAATCCTGATTACAGACAGAGACTGAGAGATTGTATGGTGAAGAATTATGTTGGTGTAACTTAATATTCACGTGTGGTTTTGTG